TTGATCATTTTAATGGGTGGGTTATATCCCTCACTGCTTCTCGTTAGCGCAGACTGGTGCCATTTGCATGCCGCATCGACAGCACCAGGAATGAATAAGAGCCAAAGTATCATGAGACTGTCTAGAAAGGATGATATTTAAAAATAACATTGGGAGGTCCTTTTCACTACACTTCAGAGGTTGGAAATTTAGGGTTTGTATTTCCATGCCTTTTCCATCATCTTACAGCCTAGAAATAGGTTGCAAGAAACCTTTGAACTGAAGGATTTACATATTTTGAGTAATGGTACACTAGTTTCCATCAGAAATCACAATAAAGCCGCAGGAGCTGATAATGTCATACAAATGCCACTTAAATAGTAACCTTACACCTGCAAACAATGTTAAGGAAATGAGCTCAAGAGTAGCATTTCCTGCTATTTCTAAATAACTGAAGTATTTAAGTGGACCACATTTTGACTGACCTGTCAGTCAGACCTGTCTTGGAGGCTGTATTTTTGTAGATGGCTATTGCATCTGGACACAAAAATATGGATGGTGTGATCCTAACTTTGTGAACATATACATGTCTACAAGAAACCAGTATACACACAAAATCTTTTTTTTTTTCATATGCAAAATAAAATACATGAGAGGCAGTAGCAAAGCATGTGAATGTTTTAGAAAACGAGACTAACATGCTCGGTGCTGTAAAGTCAACACTAGTAAGAACTGTACCTACTGCATTTCCTAGCCAATATATTCACATTTGTAAACAATACTACATACATGAAAGTTTTCTTTTTCTTTAATTAACAAATTCTATAAACAGAAACTACTGCATGGATTAGAAACAGTGCTTTCAGTGTCTGAATTTATATATATGTTCTCCTTGTCTTTATATTTCACACCTTCTAAATATGTAGGTTTCCTCCCCCTACTCCAGACTTGCAATACCGCTCCATTCTTTTCAACTCTGGAAAAGTCCCATAAAACCTGGAAAAATCTACGGTTTTTTTTAGTTTCAATCTACTTGATTCAGAATTGGCCTAAATGAAACAAACTTTCATTAAGTTCCATTAGTTGCTATTAAACTGTCGTTAGCAATGCTGAATCTCCTGCCCTGTTCTACTGAAAGACTTATAAAGGTCAAGAAATTCCACTTAATTTCAAGTTTTCTGTTCTAAATGGTTTAACTGTAGTTCTCGTTTGGATCTTTGTCACCCTCTAGTGTCATGACAACAGAAGCCAGAAGAAAAAAAGGCAAGTTACAATGTGAAGAGCGATTAAAAACTGCCCCCAATGATTTACTATTATTACTACAGAAACAACCAGGATATAGACAACAGATATATATAGCACAGTCATGCGATGGCATTATACATAACAAAGAATCAGGATTCAGCTGTCACTGTGGATTAAGAGGCTAAAATCATCCATACTATTAGTGAGGCCACAGGGATTTAGCAGCAAACTTCCTGCAGCTGTGTCACAACATGGGTCTGCTCTTGCATGAGTGGCAGTGACACTGTGCAAAGTGCCTATCAAACCTCTCCAGGCCAGCGGTGACTTATCAGAGGCTCATAAAGACCTTTTTGAAGAGCAAAGGCTTTTGCATTTGAAAGGCAGTGACATGGTATCCAGCAGGCTCCTGCTGGGGGTGATTAGCACAAGCTCTTCTGAATACCTCAGATTACAGTTTAGATCCTGGTCAAATGTTTCCCTCTTCACACAGGATAATATTGGCCCAGTCTAATTTAGGTGAAAGTAAGTCCCTGGTCCTACTTTTCTGTCCCAGTTCTTTATGATAACAAGAGTTAAACAATCTTCCTGATGCGCCTCAGCACATCTCAGTTTGTATTTGTTCATGACCATCTGCACCTGACCCCGTCAAAATCATCTGAACTTTCAGCACTCAATACCAATATTAATGCCATCTCTCATGTCCTCAAACTCTACCTCTCCCCTCCTATGCTCATCGCATGTTCTCTGAGCAGCTTTTCTCTTGTCCTTTTTCATTATTCCTCCTGCCTTAAGCAGTGGAGTTACATACATGTCTTGTTTTTCCAGGACATTTTCCAGAATACAGTCTCCATTTCTGACCTCCAAGCAGGCTGCTAGCAAGTACAGCCTGAGCTTGCTTCTGTGGAGCCCTATGAGGAGAAGGGCCAGGCCCTGCTTTGTGGGTGCCTGAGAAGGAGATGAGCACAGCTGGCCCAGCAGCCAAAAAGGGAAAGAAGGCAGAGTAGCAGCCACTGCTCATTTGAGAAACTGAGGGCTGCTCAGAGCTGCCCTGAGATGGAAGCTCCACATTGGGGTTTCTGCAGTTGAGGAGGTCACCTGGGCTGTGGGGGGAAGTGGAAGTGATGGGAGGCTCAGCCATAAAAGGAGGGGTAGGGGGTAGAAGGGCTTGGACGAAAGGAGCGGAAGGTTGTGTAGCATTGCAGGCTTTGGCAGTGGATAGGGAGGAATAGGAAGCTCCTCAGTCGGGAGGCAATAAGGTCAGCACAAGAACAGTCTCCTTAGAGCTCATCTGCACAGGTAGATTCATTTGATTTTGAGAGCCCCCATGGCAATCTGTTTCAGTGTGTGTTTTTTCAATGCTCTGTTAAACTGAATATGATTATTAATTGAAAAGAAAACTAGAGCGGGTTTCTGCAGGATGAACATCCACATTGCAAAATTAGCCAGAACTGAGCCTGCCTAGCACCATCTGCCAAAAATAGCGTCAGGACTGGGAGGCATTAGCAGAACCTGTAGGGCTATTTGAACGGTACATGCCTGCTCAGGCCTGTGCCTGGCTTCCATAGTGCTATCGATTCCTTTCTGCAAGTAAACTAAATTCTTCAGCTAAATATCAGAAGTGAATGTATAAGGTAAGCCAAAGGGTCAAAAATAGAGAGTTAATTGGATCACCCCCCTAGTTTCAACCTGATCCTGACCTTTTTTTAAAAAAAAATCTTCCTGTAAATGGCACACAGATTTCCTGTCTGCCACTAAACATTTGCCACATTTTGCCCTAGAAACATTCTGCTGCTCAGTACTGTAGTTTTTCTAGCACTTCACAATCCTTTAGAAGAAGGAAAAACTTTAGCTATTTAAAATAAGCACCTGGGAAAATCTGCAAAGTATAAATTATATCTCATAGAGAATAATTTGCCACGTAAAATTTGGTTTCCCTGGTCTGGCAAGTGGTTGATTAAGCAGATCACATTTTAAAACATGGTTTGTTATATTGAATGATTATGCATAAGTACATTTTTGGATCTTGATTTCCAGGAACACAAGTACCATTTAGTTAATTCACATCTGGTATGCAGTACATAATGCTGAATGTTTTACTCAGAGTCATGCCAGATTTTTAAGTGATCAACAGAAGCAGTGTCTGCAAACTGAATATACAAGAAGATAAATTACAATGACAAAAGACTGGACTTTTAAAAGATGAAACACTGAATCCAAATAAAATTGATCTATTGAGGTTCAGTGCTACAGGATCCGAGTACCTGATTCACTAAGTTTTGACTGATTTGGGGGCTTCTTCACAGAAGGCAATTGATATTTTGCAGGATGAGATGCACAAAGAAGTGCAACTGTCTAACATAGCAGCTGAACTCAATTTAGCAATCTAGCAAAACCGTGGTGCATGACTGGGTTAGAATTTTCTGTGGGTTTGTATTAACTTCTTTGTTGTTTGTACAGAACTAAGTTTGAAACGGTAAATTGATATTTAGAATACCTGTCTCTGCAGTGGGACTTTCCAGTCATAACCATTTGAGAAAAATATCACCCAGTGATGTGTTACAGAAATATAAAAGCTAATTATGACACAAAAGATCTGAGTGCCCCATGTGTGAATTGCAATAGGATGTGGTGTCGATAACATCAGCTATTAGTAAGTTTGTCTGACACTATGCTAAAGTCATATATTCTGATGCTATAACTTAGCAGAACTCTACCTGTTGATTTTACATGTTTAAACTTCTACATGCTGTTGCACGTATCTGCTGCAGATCAAATAATAGTCTTTCCTTCTTTCTATCCCTCCCTCTCTCTCTCCCCATCTCCTGCAAAATCATGGCGAAACTACACTGTTTTGGGCATGTTCACAACTTTTTCTCTGAGAAAATGTAGAAGTGTACACAATTTCAAGAAAATATTCAAATTTGTAAGGGAACTTTTCTTTTTTTCACAGATTTTATTTGCTGAGTTTGATGAAGAGCTTACCAAGTTTGACCAGAGTCCAAGTCTTTAAAAATCTCCTCCTAGATGCTCTGGAAGGACTTACCAGCTCTCGCCAGCTGAAATTCCAGTTCAACAACATACCCAACCAGGAGTGATCAGAGCTTTTCCTATAGTTGGAGCTTCAGGATATTACATGTTGAGACCAAAACCTTGTTTCTCCTGGGTTTCTATTCCTATCTCTTC